TCTTAACCTGTGGGTTGTTGGTCTCTCTGCACCACAGCAGCCTAACCTTGGTCCTGGGGTAGAGGGAGGCAGAATCCATGGCAGCAGGGCTCTCCATGAAGGCCTTTGGAGGCTCGAAGGCTGTCCTAGAACGTCGAGCACTCTGCCCGAGTTAGCCCTAGTCCTGATGCTGTACAACAGTGGTTTTCAAACTGTGAGCACGTGCGTTCTTGAAGCCCAGATCACAGAAGCCGGTGGGCAGACTTGGCCCTTCTGTGCGATGGCTCTACCCTAAGATTGGACTTGCCGGAGGAACCATTTCCACCTGTGGATTGGACTTGCAGCTAATATTTTGCCAAACAAAAGAATATGCTAAATAAAACAGAAAGCATCCCAAGCGTTTGAAAACCACTGCTCTGGGCAAGACTTGGCAGGCGCCCCAGGGTGGTGAAAGGCTCCCGCCGGGCAGCAGTCATTCCCCTGCACTGAGCCGTCCGCCCAGCCCAATGCTGAGTTGCAGAGCAGGACGGTCTGAAGGGAGGCGAGGGTACCATCTTCTGGCTGCACCATCTTCACAGCCACTTAAAAGTCAGATGGAGCTACTCTGGTACAGATGCCCCCGTTTTCGGGGCATGTAGCATGTGCAGGAGGTAGGACTCATGATTGAGCAAACCATCAGCTTAAATTCTGGGCCTGGGCTACTTGGGGACCTCAAAGAGTGTGGCCTTGAGCATGGTTTGGCAGGAGGGTGGTAGGAAATAGGAAATGGGAGAGCAGGCTCAGTGTAGGGGAATTGGTGCCTCTTCCCTCTCCATAGCTCCTCCCTGTCCTGGGTATTCTCCGCTACCCAGGACGTCCAAGAAGGGTCTCAGCAGTGAGTCGCTGCCTCTTGCAAGCTGAGACCCAGGTGCCTCTACGCCACTCCCAAGGCAGCAGGCACTTGTAGTACTTGCTGATTGACGTATCCCTAGGTAGCACTTTGTGTTCCCAGGGAGGAGGCGGGCGATGTGTGCTTGGTCTGTGTTGTCATGGACTGTATCACCTCCCAGGCCCCATACCCTGAACAGCACCAGCATGTCTAAGGCCTATCAGAGCACCTTCACAGGCGAGACCAACACCCCATACAGCAAGCAGTTCGTGCACTCCAAGTCGTCTCAGTACCGGCGCCTGCGCACTGAGTGGAAGAACAATGTCTACCTGGCTCGCTCCCGCATCCAGGGCCTAGGGCTCTACGCAGCCAAGGACCTAGAAAAGCACACCATGGTCATCGAGTATATTGGCACCATCATCCGCAATGAGGTGGCCAATCGGCGGGAGAAGATCTACGAGGAGCAGGTGCCACGGCTGGCTGGGGACTGGCGTGATAGGAAGTCCCCTCTGCCAAGGAGCAAGGGGCAGGCGTGGGTCGAGTGGGTAGTTGGAGAACTGCGGGAGAGGTTTGGTCGGGTCAAGTAAGCCCACTCCCTGAGTTTGATTCCTGACATTCTTGTTCTTTCTACAACTTCTGCCGTTCTAGAATCGAGGCATCTACATGTTTCGGATAAACAACGAGCATGTGATCGATGCTACATTGACAGGAGGCCCTGCCAGGTGAGAGAGGAAGGATTTAAGTGTCTCGAGTTGGCCACTTTGTGGGTGTCTCCTGGTATCGCTGATGCTGACTCTGTCCTGCCATCCAGGTACATTAACCACTCCTGTGCCCCTAACTGTGTAGCAGAGGTTGTGACATTTGACAAGGAGGACAAAATCATTATCATCTCCAGCCGGCGAATCCCCAAAGGAGAGGAGGTGAGAAGAGATCATTTTCCCCTGTCACTCCCAGGGGCCGGGCTGGGTTCTGGGTTCCAAGGCATCATGGCCCTACGCTTTTCCTCATCAAGCATACCTTGATTTTGTCCTTTTTTTTTTTTTTTTTTTTTTTTTCAGCTGACCTATGACTATCAGTTTGATTTTGAGGACGATCAGCACAAGATCCCCTGTCACTGTGGAGCCTGGAACTGTAGGAAGTGGATGAACTAAGAAGCTTTGAGGCTACCAGGCAGGGGAGTCCCCCCACCCCCGCCTCTTCCCTGAAAGGGATGAGGGGGAAGAGAGGTAGCAGCCAGAGCCAGGACCCAGGGCTGGGGCTGCCGGCCAGCCGGAGCCCCTGGAGAAGGAGGCTGGGGCGGAGGACCCTAGGCCAAGCCTACCCTGGGTGCCAGGGACAGCCTTCTTCCCTGCCACCGGCCCTTAGGCTGGCATCTGCCCCCGGCTCCAGGAGGGGACAGACAGAAGCAGCCGCTGGGCATCTCAGGTTTGAGGGGGATATGGGCCGGGAACTACCCAGAAATGTCTGGGAGGCAGCAGGGAGCAGGGAGGAGGATGTGTGGCGGGGCCTCACAGCCCTGCTGCCTCCGCCAACCTCTCTGGCCCAACTCAAGGCTGCAAAGAGACTTGACTAAGCTTGACAATCCCAAAGGCCGGGTCCCCACCTGGCCCTGCCTGCCGGGTCCTGCCCCTACCCTCACCCCCATCCCTTCCTCTCTATCTGTCTCTGTCTCCCTCTTTTCCTCTGTGTTTCTGTCTCTCTATGGGTTGTGTTTCCTTGTTTTCCACTCTGACAAATGCAACATGATGGGAAAGAGGCATCCAGATGCCCAGGAGGGCAAGCTGGGCAAGCCGGGCAAGGAGACCCCGCACCCACACCTACCTCATTTAAGTGTTGGATTTTTTGCTGTTTTGAAATGTGAGACCCTCTCCAAGCCCCCTACTGCCCCAACTCTCTCCCCCACCTCACTGCCCTCTTCTAGTGGGTGGAAAGGGGGTAGGAGAAGGAAAACAACAACAATAACAACAACAAAAATCCATCTTTGTTTTTAATTATGGGCATGGGATGGTGGTTGAGGCAAATGGTGATAAAGATTGGGGATGACTGGTCCATAGTTGCTCTAGAACTTCTTTCTCCATCTGGACATGGAGGCAGGAGGGGTGTGCTAAACCTAGGACCAGGATCTCTCTCTCCTGTTTTCCCAGCCTCATCCTGAGCCCATTTGCCCCCAGCCCCTGGATGGGGTGTGGGGGTAGGGTGAGGGCTACCCCTGAGTGGCATGCCCACACCCAACGAGGCAGGGTGTGGCCCAGAGCTCTCACTTTTCCCTCAGTCACCAAACTGCTGCTGGGCTGGTGGGAATGGGTGGTGATGTGGGGGTGGGGAGCTTAGTGTCAGCGCGGGGGGTGGGGGGTATTTATCTATTTATACATGGGATTGTACATAGTCTTGTGGGGCATGGGGGAGCTGGCCGGAGGTGAGAAGCCTCCCCTCTCCCCCTACCCCCGGGGAGAGCAAATGTAAAACTACTAATTTTTGTGCTTTATATATTCTATATAAATATATCTATTTTCTTTTTACAAAACCAGTTTATAAATGGTAGGGGGGTGTGGGGCGGACACTTGGAGCTCCCCTTGTGGGGGGGCCCCCTCCACTACCCAACCTACCGCCCTTTCCTCATCCCCCCTTCCCCACCCCCTGGCTGTGACTGCTGTAAGGTGGGGGTTAGAGAGAAGCTGGGTGATTCTCACCCCGGTTGTATAGTTGGACTATGTTATAACGCACAAAAGTGAGCTGGCCCCAGGGGGAGCCAGAGGGTGATGGGTACCCTTCTCTTCCTTTTTCCTTCCTTTTTCTGCCCAAGCTTGTGCTGCAGTTGAACCTCTTCCTGCGGGTGGTGGTAGGGTAGTGGGTGTGTGAGGCCTCAGACCCCTCTCTGGTAAGGAGCTGAGGGGATGAAAATGAAACTTATATGCAGTTCTCTCCTAGGGGCTGTGGGCAAAGGGCATTTTGTAATTAATATTTTCAAGAATCAGATTATCTGGATTGTAGAGATGGGCTGGATGGTGGCAAATGCGCAGGCCTGCTGGAGGGGTAGCACGGTTGCTGTTGTGATTTTAGGCTTTTGTTTTGTTTTAAATTTGGGGGATTGTGGATTGATGGGGGTAGGGAGATTTTTTCTTGTTTTTTTTTTTTTTTTTTTCTGGCCTTTTTTTTTTTTTTTTTAAGCTGCTTTTTCATCTGTTTTGAGCTGCAAATGTTAAGAGAGTAACAACTCCCCCTACACACTCCCACAGAAACCATTGTAATTAGATCAGACAGTGGGAAAACTGGGCTGCTGTCCCTGAAGCCACAGAGCTGAAAGGTCTCGGCATTAGTGGGGGAGAGTGTCTGCTTTGAGTCAGGCTCTGGCTGGGGCTTGGGCCCCAGAACTGGGAAAGGAGAAGGGGCAGACTTTGTATTCATACGCTAGGTATCCGATAGTCCTGTAGAATTTAGTGACGGAACCTTATACAGTTTTTAATTTTTATATAAACTATAACTCAGACCCACGCTACAAGGTTGGAATTTTGGTTGTTGTTTTTTTTTTTTTTTTTTTTTTTTTTCCTTTTCTTTTTTAAAGTACCCCGCCTGTATAATTGCATCAGAATCCCACCCCCTGTGTTTGTATTTTGGGTTGGTTTACACTTGCACATATTCAATTTTCAGTTTCTCCCTTTTACCTTCTACCCTCACCTCCAGGACCCTCCCCCTTTTTAAAAAAATAAATCGCTGACAAGTGTGAATCCCGTGAAGAACTTTATTTTGTGTTGTGTGTATCCTGTACAGCAAGGTTGGTCCTTCGTAACAACGGATGAAATGGTTCCCTTTTTTAAAGCGCTCTCTCTTCCTCCACCCCCAGCGCCCCTGTCCTTGGCATGTTTTGTATCAGCGATCATTCTGAACTGTACATAATTTATGTTGCGAGAGGCAAAGGGCAAGTTTTGGATTTTGCTTCTTCAAAGTTTGTTTTTAAACGACAAATAAAAAAAGAACATTTTAAATACAAGCGCCTCTGTCCCATGACCCTCGCCGCTAGCCAGCTACTGAGGTCCTGGAGACCTGGGGGAGGGAGGTTATCCAAGCCAGGCTCAGCCACAGCCGGAAGGGTGGGTTCCCCGCCTTCCGCCCTGGGGCCGAGGTGTGACGTAGCGGAAGTGGCGTGGGCGCCGGATGTGGGGCGGAGTCTGCTGCAGGGGAGCTTTCTAAGCCGAGGAACTGGCGGGCGCTTGCGATGGAGTCGGTGAGTGGCGCGGGGAGGCGGGGGCGCTGTGGAGTCGGAGACCCCCGCTAGGAGCCAGGGAGGGCCGGGCCGGGCTTGGCGCGGGAGTCCCGGACTCCCCTTCCTCTGTTTCAGCGGGCCCCCCGGTAGTCGGGGCCACACCCGTGCCTGCCCTGCTGGGGTCCGCGCTACCCCGAGAGAGCCGCTGTGAGCTTGCAGCCCACGGGCTCCACGGTAATTTGGCCTCCTGCCTGTGAGTGCCTCAGTCCCTTTCAGAAGTTTGCATGAGTGGGGTTGCGATCCTGCCTATTAGGTGAGCGAGCCCCGCATGCAGGGAGCTTCAGGACCCCGTTTGTGCGGCTGTTTACTGTGATTCTTGGCGCGGACATCTGGAAGACTGTACTGCATCCAGCTAGGTTCCGTTCCTTTAGAAAGCCCGAGAATTGAGGTTTCCGTGAAGGAAGGAATCCAAGAGGCCGCTGTGTCCCTTGGCCAAGTTTAGGTCGTGTCCTGATAAGTGACGCTGTGCATGCTTGTTGACAGCTCGGTCTTGGAGAGCAGAGCAGCGTTGACCAGGGGCGGCAGATCCCGTCACTTCTTACAGATGCCACAGGTTATGGGCTACTTGTTTGACCTGCCTCCTTCACAGGAGCCTTTTTCTACACTGCGCAAGCTTCCTGCTCTATAATTGTGGAGTTCCATCTTAGCATTTTTTTTTACTCCTTCGAGTCAGGTACTTGCCCAGACTAATTTTTTGTGCCGCACTTTTCCGTGCAGAGGAATAGTAGTATCATACTTTAACTTACAAAGAAGAAAACAGACACAGTGGTAAAGTGGTCATCCAAGCAAGGATTTTATTTTCTACAGAGAAAGAGCATTTTAAGCAAACACAGTCGGATTACATCAAACTTAAAACAATGCTTTTTTTTTTTTTTTTTTTTTTTTTACTTGTAAGTGTATGATAATGTTTTTGGTTTTGCTTTTTTGAGACAGGTGTAATCCTGGCTTTCCTGGACTCTTTGTAGACCAGGCTGGCCTCGAACTCACAGAGATCTGCCTTCCTCTGCCTCCTGAGTGCTGGGATTAATGGTGTGCACCACCACACCCGGGCTGTATTATAATGCTTGTAAACTATATCATGTATTACCACTTCTATATGTATTTAGAAATTTAGCCCTTTGCTTTATACTAGATTACAGAGGGGCGGAGATGAGAGGCGGAGGGAGAGGTGTTCGTGAAGGCAGGTCATAGTTAAGTACTGTCATCATGATAAAGCTGAAAGCATAAAGGAAAAAATTACATTGGGCCCACGGGGCCATTATAGACCGTTGAAGGGTATATATAGGTCCATGTTGAAACTTTGAATTTCGGTCGTGCTGTAAGAAAAATTGGCTGAGACCAAGTTGGAAGTATTGTATGCTATACAGAATTTGCACGCATACACACTTTGTTTTTTCTTCTTGAGGCAGGGTCTCAGTAGGTAGCCCAGATCTTCTGAGTACGAGCCATCATGCCCAGCTCAGGCTTTTGTAATCAGGGAGCCCGTGTCTCTCAGTAGATAGCTCAGATCTTCTGAATATGAGCCATCACTCCCAGGCTTTTGTAATCAGGGAGCCCGTGGAAGGTTTGCGCAGGGCAGTGAGTGCTTTTAAGAATATCCTTAACAGTTTTCTGTGGATAGATTGAACCACTTCCAAAAGTAAGTTTTGGTTTTTGGTTTTGGAGGTTTTTTTGTTTGTGCATGTGTGTGCTCGCGTGTTAAGAGAAAAATTGGGTGAAGGAATGTGCACGGGTACCATGGAACCAATGTGGAGACAGTGGGCAGCTTTCTGGAGTTGGTTTTCCCCTTCTACCCTACTGTGGATTTGGGGATCAGATTCAGGTCACCAGGCTTGTTGGGTAATCTCTTTTACTCGCAGAACCATCTTGCAAGCCTTGGAAAGTACTTTTATGTGGCTGAAGAAGAAAATCTTCTCCAAATGAGCTGTTTTGGTTAGAGAACTTGGTTAAAGCGCAAAGCAAGGAGGCAGTCGATGAGGGACATGGAGGCTACTATTGAGAACACTGTGCAGCTTGGTCTTGGCTTAGTGGAAGACTATCCCAGATGCCCAAGACTGTGGCGTTGGCACCCCGGTGCATTCTGTGAAGATTTAGAAAAGCTTAGAGGCAGTGCAGAGTGAGGAGTCAAGCCTCAGCCAGGGTTGTGAGAAATGAAAGGAGATGGACGTTTTTAATGTCGTAAGCCCTTCCATGTTAATGAAAGTAGAACTGCCCAGACACTGGGAAGAGCACTGGGAGGGAAAAAATAAAAAATAAAAAAATAAAAAAAATAAAAAGCAAGCCTGTATCGAATGGCTGGGACACACCTGGAAAGATAGATGAGTTTGGAAAGCAATTTTGTCTTAGTGTTTGATCTAGCCTCTGTCTCTAGTAGTATTTTCTACTTGTGTAGTACAGTGGGATACTCTTGGTTCCCTAAGATGTTCTGTTTTGGGTGTTTTATTGTTGTTTTGAGTCAGGATCTAAGAATAGCACAGGCTAACCTTGAATTCACTCTGTAGCTGAGGCTGGTCTTGAACTCCTAATCCTTGAACCCACCTCCTGAGCATTGGGATTATAGTCCTGCACCACTGCACAGGGCTCTCAGTCTCATTTTACTAAAAGATGAGGGGGGGTGGCCGTAATTCGCCCAGTTGTGGAGAAACAGGCAGAAAGATAAAGTCACATTTAATTGTTCGTGTGATGGTTAGCTTTGTCGACTTGGGAAGAGAGTCTCATGAGGGGTCCTCTGTCTGTACTGGGTTGTCTGTGGGCGTGTCTGTGGCATACGGTCTTAGTTAAATGATTTGGGGAATAGCCAGCCCGCCATGAGCAGCAGCATACTCTAGGTACACAGCCCTAAACTGAGTAAGAGTGGAGCCGAAAACATGCATTCATTTCTCTCTGCTCTTGACTGTGGATACGTTTCAGTGGCCTGACGCTTCTGCCGCCTGACCTCCCCACAGTGATGGGCGGTGCCCTGGAACTGTCCTCCCCTAGACTGCACATTGCTTTTTATCAGAGTGTTTTTACCACAGCAGTGGAAAAGGAACCAGCTCCGAGCCTGACTCGTATGCTGATATCTCTAGCTGGACACCTTCTCTCAGTTTTAGGTCTCTGTTCATATCTCTTTATATCATTATTAGAGAATATTTTTAAACTCTAAATTATGTACAGTGCTCCATGCTAGGAGACACATACGAAGTATAAGGTAGTTGAAGACTTCTAGGAATTTATAATCTGTTTCTGGAGATAACACACAGAGTCACTGTAGCGAAGTGTGATGCGTGTTGTGAGACCGGGCCTCGGAAGTAGCTTTTGTGTAAAGCCTGAGAACTGCCATGCCGAGTGTGCGTCTTCATGTGGAAAAGCCCTCTTGGGTTTTAAGAATGGGGCTGTTTTTGATAGCCTTGCCAAATATGCTGGGCCAGGCTGATAGTTTTATCAAGCCCAGAGGAAAGAGGGGAGAGCTAGTCACCCACCACACTGCACTGGAGGGAGCGCTGGGGCCGTCTTGCCCAGTTGACCCTGTTTGCCAGCCACTGTAGTTCTCAGGTTCAACTCAAGGCCTTCCGAGATTGCCACTACGTAAGCTATGAAGGTGAAATAATTGTCAAGTTTATGTAAGGGACATCACCCAGAGCAGGTGGAGCCGAAGGGTGGATGACAGTAGACAAGCCTTTTCGTGATTCCTCTGAGTTCCTAGATAGCAATATGGTTTCCGAATGTTCTACTGAGAGAGCTCTGTGGCTGCTTGTCCGTGTAAGAGCCCTTTAATCTCCGGTTTTCTCAGGAGAGGAAACTGGGCAGCTCTACAAGCATCCCTTTGAGTCCCAAGGGTGCTGCGAGAACTCACACTCCCCAGGTGCAGATGGTTTGCTTGTTTGGGTGCGACGGTCTGCTGCTCGCATCTTCCCAGACATTCCCTCTCTGAGAGGTGCGGCCGTGATTCTGGTGCCACAGCTATGTTTGCGAGTCTTTGGAAAAAGCGGTATTATCTAGGGAATTTATGTGGGTTCGAGACTTGCCTCAAGTTCATAAACAGACCCCACTGGCCTGGGATTTGTAATCCTCTGCTTCTGCCTTCATAGTGCTGAGATCCCAGGTGTGCAATCCCCACCATCTGTGTTCTTGTTTTAATAAAGTAGATCTGGGAGAACCTTTTGGCAGCAACCATAAGTTCAGATATTCTAGTCTTAGCTCTTGTTTTGGTTTTTGAGACAGAATCTTTACTGTGTAGACCAGGCTGGCCTCACACTTGTTCCAGTCCCCTATCTCTGCCTTGCCCCCGCCTCTACTTGGATGTAACCTGTGCTGAGGTTCTATCCATGCCCCACCACAGCTCCTTCTAGACTGGACGCTTTGGATTGCGATGCAGTACACACCTCTAGTCCTGACGCTAGTGAGGCTCAGGGAAGAGGATTTTAAGCCTGGCATAGTCTACATTGCTGAAACACTACCTTAAATAACCAACCAGCCTCTAGTCCTGACGCTAGTGAGGCTCAGGGAAGAGGATTTTAAGCCCGGCATAGTCTACATTGCTGAAACACTACCTTAAATAACCAGCCAGCCAGCCAGCCAGCCAACCAACAAAAACCCACCTAATAGTTTATTAGGCATTGTGTTGTATAAGAGCCTGAGCTTCGGAACCAGACGGATAGTTCACATCCCTGCTCCACCTTTTAGCAGCCCTGTGAGCTTGGACAGGTCACCTGACTCTTTAGTCTCATTTTTTCTACTGTTAATAACAGGGTTAATCTCAGGGTTGTTAAAAAAAAAAAAAAAAAAAAAAAGAACTAAATGAGATAGTATTTCCTCTCTCTTTCCTTTTGAGGGGATGTTGATGCAGTCTCATGTAGCCCAGGCTAACCTCAAACCTGTTGTCTAGCGAAGGCTTGTGTCAAGCCTGAGGCTCCCTTTTTTATCCTCCGAAGTGTTGAGTAGCGCTCACTCAGCTGAAAGGATAGTGCTTGAAGAGTCTTGCTGTACTTTCTAAGAGGAGTCATTAGTTCATCAGCCCTTCAGCCCCCACCCCACCCCTTTTTTTAAATAATACCAGGAATCGAGCCTAGTACCTCACACATTCTCTAAGCCATACCAGCTTTTTTTTTTTTTTTTTTTTTTTGGTCTTTTTGAGGTGGAGTTTTGCTTCTATAGCCCAGGCTGGCCTGGCTTCAGATTCATGAAGATGTCCCCAATGAGTCTTCCAAAGCCGCCTTCTCTTTTTCTAGTGTGGGGCTGAGATGGAGTCTGGGGAAAAGTAACTGTGCTTCTCTTGCCCTCCAGGTTGCTGTGGAGAGTGTCCCAGCTCTGGAGAATGAGCACTTCCAAGGTACGTTTCCCATGAAGTCAGGAACCTGAACGTGGAAGCCACAGCCTGACCCTGTCTTCAGTGGCAATTTTAAGTCTCCTGGGGTTCTCCTAGGGAAAGAGGCAGGGCTTCTAGGGGTGTAGTTTAGTGGTAGAGCACTCACCTGCCTAGCGTATGTGAGGCCTTAGGTTCAAGCCCAGCACCACAGACGAATGAAGGAATCAGTTGGCTGCCTCTCTGGGAATGGGTTTGCCCAGGAGCACTCTCATTTTTCCTGAGACCTATGATGTTTATTGCACTAAGATGTACACTTTCCCAGCTGATTGGACTAGAGACTGAGTATAAATTTCAGGAGATCATACAGCGGGGCTGGAGAGATGGCTCAGTGTGTTCAGACCACTTCCTATCCTCCTGAGGACTGGAACTCAGATCCCATAGTCCTGTAACCAGCCAGGTGACCCACACATCTCTAGCCCAAGCTCCAAGGGGCACAGAGACAGAAGGGGCACTGGGGCTTGCTGGCTGTAGTGGAAAAAATATGAGCCCCAGCTTCAGGGAGAGCTCCTGCCTCTGAGCCTTCCAGGTATCTTCGGGTGTATTTATTCATTTATTTATTTATTTATCTATCCATTCAGCCATCCTTCCATCTGTCCATCCATTCATTCAGCTCCTGTAACCCAGACCAGGCTGAACTTAAATTTGATTTGTGGCTGTGCTGAATAGTTTTGTGAGTGTGACACAGGCTGGAGTCTTGTGAGAGGAGAGAGGAGCCTTAACTGAGAAAATGCCTCCAGAAGATCAGGCTGAGGAGGCCGGTAGGGCATTTCCTTAATTAGTGACTGATGGGGGCGGGCCCAAACCGTTGTGGATGGTGCATCCTTGGGCTGGTGGTCTCAGGTTCTGTGAGAAAGCAGGCTGAGCAAGCCAGTAAGGAGCGCCCTCCATGGCATCCAGCAGCTCTCGGCTCTGGGTTTTCTCCCAATCTGAGTTCCTGCCTCAGTTTTCCTCAGAGGACTGTGATTGAGCATAGGTAAGCCGGATAAACAAACCCTTTCCAAACCAAGTTGTTTTGGTCATGCTGTCTCATCACAGTGACAGTAACCCTAAGACCGTAGCTGGAGATGACTTTGAACTTCTGATCATCTCATATACCCCCTGAGTACAACTGGGCCCATTTTTTCCCCCCCAGGGCTGGGAATTGAGCCCAGTACTTTGTGCTTACTAGGCAAGTATCCTAACTCCTGAGCTACACTGCAACCTGAAAATCCCCCTTACAAATTTTTTTTAAAAGAAGTTGTTTTTTTAGTTAATTGTTTTGTTTTAGTTTTTCTTCTTTTAGCTATTTATTTTATGTAGACCTGCATGCCAGAATCGGGCACCAGATCACATTATAGATGATTGTGAGCCACCATGTAGTTTCTGGGGATTGAACTCAGGACCTCTGGAAGAGCAGGCAGTGCTCTTAACTGCTGAACCATCTCTCTAGCACCCCCTTACAAATTTAAAAAACATTTGTTTACTTATGTGTGTGGGTGTTTGGTTTCAATGTATGTCTGTCAACCACATGTGTTCATGGTCCCTGTGGAGGCCAGAAGAGAGGGTGTTGGACCCCTTAAGACTAGAGTTCACAGGCATTTGTGAAGCACCATGTCCATGCTGAGGAGTGGACCCAGGATCCCTAGAGGGACAGCTCTTCTGAGCCATCTCTCCAGCCCCTGAATTCCCTTTTTTATTTTAAAAAAAAAAAAGTATGTTTTATACCTGTTTTCCTTATGAAATGTTCCTTTTTTTTTTTTTAAGGTTTCATTTTTATACAGTGTTCTATCTGCATGTATGCCTGCACGCCAAAAGGGAGCACCAGATCTCACTATAGATGGTTGTGAGCTGCCAATTGGTTGCTGGGAATTGAAATTAGGACCTTTGGAAGAACAGCCAGTGCTCTTAATCTCTGAGCCATCTTTCCAGCCCATGAAATGTTCTTTTACTTGAGTATATTACATTGCTATCAAGGTTTTTCCCCCTATATGTTGACTTTCCCTCCATTGCCCTTCTTTGTTTGTTTCCGTATACTATGTTTGATGTATTTACATTTGGTATAGGGGGACAGTTTGAGCCCCTTTTTTGTTTGGTTTTGGGTGTGGTTTTTGTTTTTGTTTTTGTTTTGTTTTTTCTAGACAGGATTTCTCCGTGGAGCCGCGGCTGCCCTGTATTGTTCTATAGATCTGGCTGGCTTCGAACTCGCAGAGATCCCCTTCCTCTGCCTCCCAAGCGATTAAAGGTGTACGCTACCACATCCAGTTAAAAGTCTTAATAATACATTCTCAGATTTTTTTTTTTTGATACCACACTACCTCTTTTTTAAGTTTTTGTGTTTCTGTGACTCTGAGTGTAGTATTTGAACCCTGTTTTTCCGTGTACATGTGTGTGCATGTGGAAAGTCAAACTTGATGTTGAGTGTCTTTCTTGATCCATCACTTTCCTTCCTTCCTCTTAGTTTTTGTTTTTTTTTTTTTTTAAGGTTTATTTATTACTTATACAACATTCTGCCTGCACACCAGATCTTACTATAGCTGGTTATGAGCCACCATGTGGTTGCTGGGAATTGAACTCAGGACCTTTGGAAGAACAGCAAACGTTCTTAACCTCTGAGCCATCTTTCCAGCCCCTTCCTTCCTCTTAGTTTATTGAGCTGGACCTCTCGCTAGTTCTGACCTGTCTGGGATCCATCTTTGCCTCCTGAGTGTTGAGATTACAGGCCGTGCAGGCTCAGGTTTTATGTGAGTTCTAGAACTCCCACTCCAGTCCTCGCACTTTTGATTCTTGTTTTAAACCAAGGATGAGAGATGACTTAGGGGTTAAGAAAACTTCTTGTTCTTACAGAAGACCTGAGTTCAGTTCCCAGCACCCACGTGGTGGCTCACAAACATCTATAATTCCAGTTCCCAAGGATTCAGTACTCTCTTTTGGCCTCCACAGGCACCAGCACATACATGGTACATAGACATACATGCAGGCAAAACATGTGTAAAAAAAATTGTTTTAAGTATAAAAAAAAGTGATCTAGCAGTCAGGAGACAGAGGCAGGTAGGTATCTGTGAGTTCAAGGCCAGCCTGGTCACAGAGGGAGTTCCAGGACAGCCAGGGCTATACAGAGAAACCCTGTGTCTTAGATAGGGTTTTATTGCTGTGAAGAGACACCATGGCCACGGCAGCTTTTATAAAGGAAAGCATTTAATTGGGGCTGGCTCACAGTTCAGACGTTTAGTCCATTATTGTCATGATGGGGATTATAGCTGTACATGGGTGGACATGGTGCTGGAGAAGGAGCCAAAGAGTTCTATACCCTGATGGCCAGGCAGCAGGAAGAGAGACGCTGGGCTTGGGCATTTGAAACCTGAAGTCCACTCCCAGTGACACACTTCTGCCAGCGAGGCCACGCCTCCTCAGCAGTAATATGTCACTCCCAGTGCCACTCCCTAAGCTTCAGACACGAATGTATGAATGTCGGGGGCCGTTCTCGGTCACACCGCCAAAGCAAGCCAACAATTGATGTTACATGTTACACTATTGAGATACCCAGCCGTGACTTTTCATAATTGAACATTGCACATGATATCCGTGCCCATCGGGTATCTGCGGCAGCTCTGAGGCAGTTGTTGGATCCAGTAGATGAGGTAGACTAAGCATGAGATGTTAACAACTTAAAATCTTGTGTCCCACTTAAGAGGATACAACAACTAAATCTGCTCAATTAAGACCTGTTTTTGCCAGATCTCATTTTGTAAAGAAACTGAGAATCTGGATTTTTATGTAAATCTGTAGAGTTTTAAGTTAGGAGACTGATTTAAATTATTTTTAAAACTGGGAAATCCAAATTCATTACATGTGTGAGCCTCTGGCTTAAAATGATAGCCTCCAACCCGGTGCAGTGTGTCTTCCTGTGGTCTCTAAAGCAAGTTGGGGTTTCCTGTTTGAAAATGACAGCAGTCTTGCAGTTAATGTGGTAGACTGAGTGCCGCCATCCACCTTCAGCCTTTCTGTGACGGACAGAAGAAAGGCTCAGAGATGGCTCACCATTGAGAGCACTGGTTGCTCTTCTGGAGGCTTCCATTCCTGGTACCCTTAAGGCCGCTCACAACTGTCCTGCGTGTAACTCCAGTTTCAGGGGATCGGGTGCCCTCTTCTGGCCTCCACAGGCACTACATGTGCAGAATAGACTCAAGCAAAACACCCATGAACATAAAATAAAAATAAAAATCCTGAACTGAGTAAGATGTCTCAGCCTTGACAAGTTGCTTGCCTTGGAGGCCTGGATCCCAGAGTTTGTCATCCAGAGCTCAGGGGAGGTGGAACCAACCCCCTGGTTGTCCCCACACGTGTATATACGTGTTCACATGCATGTACACTTGCCCATCCTAAAGAACGAATCACAAAAATAAGAACAGGAGAGGAGACTGGAGTTTGGAAGCTGGAGCTGGGAAGCACTTGGGAGATAGTCACGTGACTTAGCTGTTGTGTGCATGGCGCAGTGTGGTCAACAGTTAAGAAAGCTTGAAAGCATATGAAGCAAGCATCCCAGGACGGGCTGTCTCGTTGCACACTACCGTCCCCTCCACCGGGCCAAGGCAGTGGGTGTGAAAGACAGAGCCCGAAGTAAGCTGTGCTGAACCCTGAGCCTCCCCTATTCCACTTCCAGAATATTAGCAGAAAAGACTTCAAGTCTTCTAGGTTCAGAACTGAAGAGTCATTAGGCTGCCCTCGAAGGCAAGACCTTCGATTGCAAACACCGGATGTTCTCAAAATGGTTCACTGTCAGCAAGCCTCAATTATGCCTTTAGAGCTCTAGTCAGCGTGCAAGTTTTCCACTTAGGATACGCTGTAGACAAAACAAGCAAAACTAGAATTTGAATCCTGTTTCTCTGTGTGTGTGCCAGGGTGAGAGGGGCCTATACTTGATGCCAGGTGTCTCCAGTCAGACGCCTCCCTCACTTTACTGAACCACTGCCCTGGTCCCTGAATCCTGTTTTGAACAAGGACTAACAGACATCTAAAGAAAGCCTTAAAAAGGTGATCCAAACTGTCCCCTGTCCCATAAGGAAATAAGCAGAAAAGGGCAACTGGAGGGAAAGTTAACATACAGGGAACAAAAGCTTCTGATAATTAATATGTTCAGGTAAAAGAACAAATTTTGTTCCATGTGGTAGTGCACACCTTTAATTCCAGCACTTGGGAGGCAGAGGCAGGAGGATCTCTGAGTTTGAGGTCAGTCTGGTCTTCATAGCAAGCTCCAGGACAGTAAAGGTTACACAGAGAGACCCTGCCTTGAAAAGACCTGAAAGGATCAGTGTAGAAATCGTCGTGTCTCAGTCATAAGAGTCACAGAAAGAGAAAAATGGCACGACAGAGGGAAGGATGCAGTCAGGGTATGCACTTCACAGCATTCCCGGAGCTGAAAACATTCCTTTACCTATTGGAAGAAAACGCACTGGCTTTTCAGCACAGACACAAACCCAATCCACCCAGAGATAAGCAGATTTCAAAGAGAAGGGCCTCTGAGTTTGCAAAGAGGAAAAACAGCTCACACAAGAATCAGAAACAACGGCGGTGTGGTAGCTCACAGGCGATGGAGCAGTGCCTTCAGCTGCAGGAAAGAGAATCCCAGCCAAATTCTCCATCAGAGAAGGGTGAGGGAAGAACAGATACCTACAAGCTGTGAGATTGTAAAAAGCTTTTACTTCATACTGGACCTTCCTCAGGAAGTTACTAGATCTGTCTTATTAAAACCCCGGACAAAAACAAGAGTCCACAAAGGGAGGTGTGAAGGAAAGCCCAAGGTGGCAGGTCAGAAGACCTCAAGAGAAGTCAAAGAGAGACATCTTTTGGTACTCTGAATTCGGAATTTCCTGGGATTCACATAATTGGTAGGCTCTGGGGATTGAATCAGTTGTGAGTACTATATATAGAAAATTTAAACCAAGAATAAGACCATGGTTAACTCCAGAGATGATAGAAAGTGTCAAAGAAAGAAAATGTTTCTTTTTTAAATTTGTCTTTAATGTTTTCAGTCATGTGTGTGTGTGTGTGCGCGTGTGTTTGTATACGTTGGAGTGCAGGTGGCAACCGAGGCCAGAGGTGCCTTGATGCCCTTGGAGCTGGAGTTACAGGTGCTTCTGAGCCATCTCATGTCATTACTGGGATCTCTGGTAGCGCAATATGTGGCCTTAACCACTAACCATCTCTCCAGCTGAAGAAAATTGTTCTTATTTAACTTAGCTCTGATACATTTAGTCAACGTGGTTGAAATGGTAACCAGCATTAGGGTTCAACTCCTAGAAGGTGGGGCCTGCAAAATGGGAGGTACTTGTTAGTGTTAGTTTGGGAAGAGAACTAAAACATTCTTGTCTTCGTCAGGAATGATAATAATTGAAAGTGAGAAGATGGAGAGAAGGCTCAGAGGTTAAGAGCACCGCTTGCTCCTCCAGAGGTCCTGAGTTCAATTCCCAGCAACCACATGGTGGCTCACAACCATCTATAGTGAGATCTGCTGCCCTCTTCTGGTGTGCAGGCGCACATGCAGGCAGAACACTGTATACATGATAAATAAATAAATGCTTAAAAAAATTGCAAGTGAAATTAAGTCAGAAAGCTGCAGTGTAAGCGTGTCATCCGACGACACAGGAAGAACAGTGTTGTGTGAGGGCGCCACCTATGATCCCAGCTCTCAGAGGCGAGACTAGCATGGTCCGCACAGTGAGGCCCTGACGTAAAAAAAGAAAGAAAAGCCCGCACTGGCTGGAGTGACTGTTCAGTGGTAAGAGCACAGGCTGCTCTCTTAGAGGGCCCAGGTTCAATTCCCAGCCCTCGTGTGTGTTGGCTCACAACCACCTGTAGCTCCAGTCCTAGGGGGTTGATACTCTCTTTTGGCCTGTGAGAGCACCAGGTAGGCTTATGGTATTGAGACATATATCCTCCGAGCAAAACACCCGTACACATAAATAAAAATGAAAAAATGTTTAAAGACCAAAAAAAAAAAAAAAAAGCACTGTTAAAGCCTTTCAAGAAAGACTCTCTCTGATAGGTAGGTATGTTTTTCCATGCCTGTGGGAGAGGCAGGAAGGCCAGGTCAAGATGGTTCTTGGCTACATAAGAGTTTGGTGGAGCTACGTGCAGTGATGGTTGCCTGTCATCCATCACTAGAGAGGCTGAGACCAGGTCCCAGCTCCACACAGTTCAGGACTGCCCACCGAGAACCTGCCCATTCCTGACATCAAGGGCTGGGAAGACAGCTAGTGGTGCAGCGTCTACCTAGCGTAACAAGGCCCTCGGTTTGGTCTCTAGCACTGAGAGAAGAAAAAAATATTAGAAAACAAAGTGTTTTAGAGACAGGGTTTCTCTGTGTAGCCCTGGCTGTCCTAGACCAGGCTTTATAGAGTAGGCTGGCCTTGAACTCAGAGATTTGCTTTCCTCTCCTCTCCCTCTTGAGTGCTGGGACTGAAGGCCACCAGTGCCCAGCTAGAAATCGGATTTTAAAATCAGCTGGGATGCTGGTACAGAACTAGTTAGGACTAGGGACATGACCCTGAACCGTTCCTTTAACTGCTCTGCGGAGCTTCTTGCCTAAAACACTAGGATAGCGCTTACTTAACGGTTCAGGAAGAATTCAGAGATGCAGAGCTGGGTGTGCTTGGGAGACAGGGGCAGGTGAGTCTCTGAATTCGAGGCCAGCCTGGTTTCCATAGGTAGTTCCAGGACAGCCCTGGTTACATAGAGAGGCCCTGTCTTGAAGAATTGGGGGAAATGGGGTGGGGGTGGGATTGGATTGCGCAGTATTTTTAGGTGTGCACTACAGTACATGTGCCATGTAGAGTCTGACTGTGGAGGACCGCCTTTCCAGCAACCCTGGGCAAGCAGTGAAAGAGACTGCCAGGCGTGTGCTGCGCGCCTGCCATCCCAACCCTTGGGACGTGAAGGCGGTAAGATCACAAGCCTGAGGCCTGCCTGGCTAGGTGGCAAGATTCTATCTCAAGCAAATGAAGGGGCTCCCCGTAAGACCACTGGCTCACAATGGCCAGTAACTCCGGGGCTCCCACACCCTCGGCTCCCACACCCTCTTCTGGCCTGAGCAAGCACCAGGCACACACATGCACAGACCTATAAGTAAAATGCTCGTACACACACAAAAAGAAGGAAGTTATTTAAATTTTTTAAAAAACATATAATTACTAAAAAAACAAAAAAATAAGATGCATAAAGTGAGAAGAGCGGAGGAAAACCTCGCTGGGCTCTCCCATTGGCCTTCTGACTCACAGGTGACCTGAGTGTCTGGCCATGTCGACTGAGCATGTAGTATTGTTGGAAATGGCCTGAGCCACGAGTTTTGCACCTGCAGGTCTTCAACAAATTTAATTTCACCTTCATTGAGAAAAAAATGAAAATCTGACTAAATAGAAGGAAAAACTCTTATGAAAAGACAGGAAGCAATAAAGACAAAAATCTCTTTAAGAGTTGAGAAACTGGTGGGTGGTAATGATGCACGCCTTTGATCCCAGCACTCGGGAGGCAGAAGCAGGTGGGTATCTTCGAGTTGGAGGCCAGCCTGGTCTCCAGAGTGAGTTCCAGGACAGCCAGGGCTACACAGAGAAACCGTTTCGGGAGTGGGGGTGAGAAACTAGAACCCTTCTGATTGTGAGTTCTTACATAAGAGAAATGCACCAACTTTTCCACCCCGTGCAGAGACCCCGGAATCGAATAATAGTGTGTATACCTCCTTCATGAAGTCTCATCGCTGCTATGACCTGATTCCCACAAGTTCCAAGCTGGTTGTGTTTGATACGTCCCTGCAGGTGGGTAGAGCCCTTCCCCCTTCTCCATTCCTGTCAGTGCCTGCCAGCACGCTTTACACGCCCCTACACGCCAACCCCGCTTTTTCCCACAGCTGGGCCTTCTGTGAACTCCTTAGGATAACACTCTTTTGGCCACAGGTAAAGAAAGCCTTCTTTGCCCTGGTGACTAACGGTGTTCGAGCTGCCCCCTTGTGGGACAGTAAGAAGCAGAGCTTTGTGGGTAAGCAGCAGTCTCTGGAACACGCTTCTTGGCATCTTTTTGCCGACCAGGGAGAGCTTTGGGTGATGCCAAGGGCTCTTGTGTTCTAGGCATGCTGACCATCACCGACTTCATCAACATCCTCCACCGCTACTACAAGTCAGCCCTGGTAAGAAACCTGGCCTCCAGACAGAGCCACACCCTCGCCCTGCGTCTGGGGCCACCCTGCCTGCTTTCCCCCGGAGAAGCGAGAGCAGGGTCAGATGTGTGCTTCTGCCTCTAGGTACAGATCTACGAACTGGAGGAGCACAAGATAGAGACTTGGAGAGGTACATAGAGAATTGGAGGTTGCGGGAGACAAGGCAGGGAGAGTGTCCTGGGAAACGAGTTTGTTTGGCAGCTTTTTGTGACTACCCCTTTTCTCTTTAGAGGTGTACCTGCAGGACTCCTTTAAGCCGCTTGTGTGCATTTCCCCAAATGCCAGGTGAGGGCTGTGTCTGTCCCTAAACACCTGGAGACTCAGAGGCAGGGTCGGGAAAGAGGGAAGTCTCCTCCTGGTGCACACATAGCCACGCCTGGCCTTGATCTTGCAACAGAGCTCAGGCTGGCCTGAGCTTATGACTCTTGTTCCTACGCTGGCAGCACAAGTACATCACCACACCAGCCACACACATGCACAGCTCTGTCCGAGCACTGCCCCACCCCGACCATGAGTTTTCCTGTCTGTAAGCACACCCGGAGAAGCTGAGCAACTTGACTATTAGCCCTGTGGAACCTAACTGTGACCTTCTACCTTTTCACAGCTTGTTTGATGCTGTCTCTTCATTGATTCGAAACAAGATCCACAGACTTCCAGTTATTGACCCCGAGTCAGGCAACACCTTGTACATTCTCACTCACAAGCGCATCCTCAAGTTCCTCAAGCTGTTTGTAAGTCCACGTGAACCCAGGTCTTCCACTCCCATGTTGGGTTGGAGGCATTTCCCTGAGGCTTGAGGGCCTTAAAAGTCAAGCAGTGTTCTTGGGGATTGAACCTAGCACTTCACACTGTGCCCCGGAAGCCCCGAAAGCTGATGATTCTTTCCTCAGATCACCGAGTTCCCCAAGCCAGAATTCATGTCTAAGTCTCTGGAAGAGCTACAGATCGGCACCTATGCCAATATAGCGATGGTCCGCACTACTACGCCTGTGTATGTGGCTCTAGGCATCTTCGTGCAGCACCGAGTCTCGGCCTTGCCTGTGGTGGATGAGAAAGGTGGGAGACTGGGGAAAAAAGAGGGAGGGTTCTAGGGTCAGGTGTCTCTGGGAAAAGCTGCTGTCCCCTCAGCTCGGCCTGGAAGGTAGTCGTGTGGGTACTGAGAGCTCTGGCTACCAACCTCTTCTGAGCTGCCTGTGTCTTCCCAGGGCGCGTGGTGGACATCTACTCCAAGTTTGATGTGATCGTGAGTGACAGTGGAGGGGCTGGGGGAGGGGGAGGGGTGCTGGACGCCTCCGCACTTTGAATACTGCCTGAGGGGCAGCTGGCTGAGCTGGCTGAGGCTTGCAGCAGGGCTGAGGAGCCCCCCACCCCTCTTCTGAGCTTGGGTTGGTCCACGGTCTGGGAACCGGCTCCCTTTCAAGCCTGCCCCCCACCTCCAGAATCTGGCAGCGGAAAAGACCTACAACAACCTAGACGTGTCTGTGACGAAAGCTCTGCAGCATCGCTCGCACTACTTCGAGGGTGTCCTCAAGTGCTACCTGAACGAGACTCTGGAAGCCATTATCAACAGGCTGGTGGAAGCGGAGGTAGGAAGGCCGCCCCTCTGCCCCCCCCTCCACCAGCCTGACGCCCCCAGTGGGGAGGGCACGAATACTCCTCGATGCTCCCTGCCAGGTTCACCGGCTGGTCGTGGTGGACGAGAACGACGTGGTGAAGGGCATCGTGTCGCTGTCTGACATCCTGCAGGCCCTGGTGCTCACAGGTGGAGACAAGCAGCTCTGAGCATGGGGACAGACAGGCGGCGCCTGGGAACACGGCCCCCTCAGAACTCCCTGCCGGAAGCTTGGGGAGTCGATGGACTCCTGGGAGAACTGAGTCTGTTCCCTCAGAAGCTCCACGCCCACTATCTGGAACTAGAGAGGGGGAAGGAGGAGAAAGGACTTTTAGTTTCCCTTACCATCATGAGTACACTTGAGAAAACTATCAGCCAATCCCAGTCCCTTAGGCATAGCTCCCTCCTGGGTGATCCATGGGCTTTGTGCTCCTCAGGTGGATTCTGATCTCTAAGAGATCTGGAGACCTCACCATGCCCCGCCCATCTCTGCCCTTCTTCCACCCAAGATAAGGGCTCCAAAAGTCTTTATGAAATGTTTTTATTCATCCTCTTCATTCTGTGTGGAGGAGGCTGAGTCCATTTAATGTCATTCCTTCCCATGAGTCTTGTGGGGAGGTGCATGTCTGGGTCCCTGCGCTGTGTGCACATGAAGGCAGATGGTTGTGTGGAGGAGGGCAGTGGGTAGGTAGCCAAGATTAATGCTTTTTGTGGCAAAACTAATTAAATGACAAGGTTTTCATCATGGTATTGCAGTGTTTGATTTCTGCATTTGATAGATGCTATTTCACCAACTTTCTTACCTCATAAAGCTGCTTCAGCTCACTAATAACAGCAGAGATCTTCTCTGTGCCTTAACACAGGCTGTGTATCCTTTGTCCACAGTGTGTATGGCTCTAAGCGTTTGCGTTTGGGGAGAGTTGATTTTTTTTTTTTTTTTTGAGACAGGATTTTGTACCATATGTACATCAGTCTGGCCTTAACATTTGTAACAATCCTCCTGCCTCAGCTTCCTAAATACTGGAATTATAGGCATGTGCTACTAGCCCAGGGTCAGACTTGAAAAAAAAAAATGTTTGCGTATGTATGTGTGTAGGCCAGAGGACAACCTTGGGTGACAATGCTCAGCTTCCAGCTTATCTGAGACAAGTTCTCTCTCTTCCTTTCCCTCCCTCTTCCTTTAATTTTGGGTTTTCAAGACAGGGTTTCTTTGTGTAGCCCTGGCTCTCCTGGAACTCGCTTTGTAGACAAGGCTGGCCTCAAACTCACAGAGATCCGCCTGCCCCTGCCTGTGCTGGGATTAATGGTGTACACCACTGCTGCCCAGCTGTACATTTTTTTGGGGGGACACTCTCATGTGTATGTGTCCTTGGCTGGCTGAAGTTCACTGTGTAGACCAGGCTGGCCTCAAGCTCACAGAGATCAGTGTGTCTGTTTCTCAGTGTTGGTGTTAATGACATGTGCCACCACACTGAGCCTATGAATTCTTTTATTTTTAAGTATGTATGCGTGTGCATGAGTGTAGACACCCAAGGAGGCCAGAGGCGTAAGATCTAACGCAGGTCTAGGCAGGTGTGAGCACCCAGGTGCTGGGGGTTGAACTAGGATCCCCTGAGAATATTATGTGCTTTTAACCTTTGTGCCAGTTTTTCCAGATCCTAAATTAAATTTGTCTTAAATTATGTGCCTGCACTGTGTCTGTGTACTGATTGTGTGCCTGGTGTCCATGGTTACAGACTGTCATGAACTGCCTTGTGAGGGAGAGAACTGAACCCAGATCCTTTGGAGAAGCAACCAGTGATCTTCACTGCTAAGCCACCCCTGCCCCATTTAAAAAATATATGCCAGTCCAGCTTGTGAGGGGGTTGTGCACAGGTGTGCAGGCCAGCGGACAACTCAGGCAGCGATCCTCGGGAGGCTCCCCTTCTTGCTTTTTTGGTTTTTTTTGAAACCCTGTCTCTCAGTGGCTTGGGATTTCGCCACCTGATAAGGTTCGCTGGCCAGCCAGCTGGAGGGTCCCAGGATTCCAAGCACATGCCCTCATACGTGGCTCTTACATGGGTTCTTAGGATCGGAACTCAGCTTCTCCAGCTTTCAAGATGTGTCTTACCAACTGAGCTGTCTCCCCAGCACCTTTTCCAGCTTTAAGAGAATTTTAAAAACGGAAGCAGAGACTCAAAAGCTGGCCCAGAGCCACCCTGCTGGTGAGAAGCAAAGCTGAGTGGTAAAGGCGCTGCAAGCTTAGCTCCTGAGTTGAGTTCCCAGAGGCCATGTAAAGGTGGAAGAGAACAGACAACACAGAGCTGCCCTCACGTGCTCAGCATGACTGCACTTAGACACACAAATCATCTGGTACGCACGCATACAGTTTAAAAACAAAGCTGGTAGGTGTGGAGATGTGTGCCTTTCGTTCCAGCACTTGGGAGGTGGAGGAAGACAGACCGCTTGAGTTTGGGGCTAACCTGGTCTACATACATAACAAGTTCCAGGAGCTACATAGTGAGATCATGTCTAATAAATAATTTTAAAAAGCCAGTCACTGTTGGCTGCATACACCTTTAACCCTGGCAGGTGGATCTCTGAGTTCAAGGACAGCCTGGTCTGCAATGCAAGTTCCAGGACAGCTGGGGCTACATAGAGAAACCCTGTCTTGAAAAACCAAAATGCAAATCTAAGAAGCTAGTATTTAAACCTCAACTATCTGATTCCAGGTTTTATATTTTCCTATCTTTACAATAATCTTACTTCCTCTCTAATTCTCCTTATTTCCTGTAATTACTCTTACTTTCTTCTCTGTCTGGACCATAGTTAGGGCCCAGGCAAAAAGTTCCCAACAAGTCTGGACAGTAGAAAACGGATTGGGGTCTTTGGGCAGAGCTCTGCCAAGGCCATCAGTGTTTCTTGAGGGAAGGTTAAACTCTGGGTTTTGCTGGACTGGTACTGTTTGAACCCTCAAATCCCTTCACTTTTCTCTAAGACAGAGTGGATCCTGGAGGAAAAGCAGAGCTGTGGTCAACCCAAGAGACCCATTATCTGTGCTGAAACCACACAAACTGGGAGTAGCACAGAACACCAGGAAGAGGGCCAGGCTGGGCTTCCTTTGCTGATAGGATAGTTTGCATCCAAGCCAGGAGTAGGCTCTGAGTAACTCCCTGGCTCTCCCTCCTTTGAGCCTTCAGAGGAACCTGTGCCACACTATTCCTGTTCTTCCAATGCAGGCTTCCTGATGGAACACGGGAAACATCAAGACACTTGTTAGAGGTCAGCTTTCAGTGCTGGTTGAGGCCTCTGCGTTCACATCTTCCAAGCTCTCAGCACATTCCCAAGCTTGGGGGAGGGCGGCTTCCAAATTAGCAGCATTAGAGCGTGTGTTTATGTGTGTGTGGAGGGGGGTGCGTGGTGGAAAGGACAAATGTCTCCTTGTGTCACATTCCTTCAAGGAGGATTTGTTTAGGGAGGAGGCAAAGCTTTAAAAGCTATGGAACTCTGGTGGGCCCTGGTGGAAAGCAGAGCCTTGGAACCCTCTTCAGTGTGGCTGGTAGGTGGGATCGCAGGGGGGCAGGGAGCATGGGACAGCAGAACAGGCTAGGTTTTACTTTGCCATTGCCCAGTGAGACCTGTCTCCGCCCTATAACAACCCTTTTGATCCCTGTCCCCTTAAAGAGAAGGCTCTGTGCCCAAACGTTCCCTGTTCCCTATACTTTTATGAAGAACCAACTGGGATCTCGGGGTGTTTCTCCCATTTCCCCCCTCAGACTCCCCTCCCAGTCTTAGTCTGAGGGTGGAGCTGAAGACAAGGGATGGATGTCGGGGAGCTCACTGGCTTCTGTTCTTAAAGTCAGAAGCGAATGGTCCCTTCTTCCTCAGGAGCCATTGCCACCTCCTCTCCTCCTCTCGTTCTGCTCCCCACACCCCTCCCCTCCACTGAGCTGCTACCATGGTTGCCAGGCATGGTTGCTAAGTCTCTGCATGGAAGGGTTGGCGTGGGCTGTGCTGCCACTAACATTACCATGGTGAATCAGGGGACACCTGGTACAGGCTCAGGGGGAGGGATCCTGAGGCTGCAAGCAGCAGCCCCCTGCCCCCAACAGTGAGTCCAGAAGGTGAGCCGTACTTCAGGGTGGCCGGGTGCACCTGGCATCTGGGCAGGAGTGAGCAGGACCCCCCTTGCTAGGAAAGGAAGGCCACTGTTATTCTCTCTGTTGCTAGGGGATTTGCCTGTGTCACAGGAACAGGCTATTCCTCCTCCATCCCCCTCTATTGGGGTACAAGTGTCTAGAGGCACCCTAGCTCCTCCCCACATAAGGCCTGTGGAGCAGTGTGGGCCCAGAACTGTGTAACCCTAGAATCCTGGCTTCTGGGTTCCGGGAGCCAGCCTGCTGCTGCTGGAAGGCTCATTTGGTGCCCAAGGACACCCAAATCTAGAGCAGGAATCGTCCTGCTGCCTAGGTGGCCAGGACGGACTGAGTTCTGCCTTACACACCAGCAGAAAAGGTGAGGGTGCTAGAGCCACTTCTTTGGGGGGACTGGGGGAGCAGCTGTCCCCCGAGTCGCACAAAAGCTTCCTGAAAGCTGCCGCCTCTTCTCCCCACTGCTTAGGAACTGGTTACTCATCTGCACCCGAATGCCACTGACGCTAAAAATAGCCCTCCCCCCCAGCTGCGGGCCAGCCTCTCTTGCACCCCAACCCCATGGAAACAAGCAGAGAGTGGCAGGCAGAGACCTTGAGTTCTATTCTCACCACTCGCTGTCAGAGAGGAGTCCAGGCAGGCAGGCAGGCAGGCAGGGACAGACCACTGTGGTCAGGCGACCTGACAATCAGGAAAGCAAAGAGTTAACACTTCAGGAGGGGTGAGAAGATGGGGGCTGGAGAAGAGGGCACCGTAAGCCTGGCAAGAACCACAAGTCTCTCCCCACCCACTCGCGGGTCCGGTTAGGCTTGGGGGACCTGAGCAGTGGGAAGGGGCGTCCAATCCCAGGCCCCAGGGGGCGGCCGTGCACACGGGGGAGGTAGCAACGCGGAGCCGTCCACGGCGGCGTGTCACATGCGCGCGCGCTCGCGCGCGAGCACACACACACACACACACACAGACAGGCAGGCACACACGTGTGCCCGGGTATATATAGTTGCCAGTCCCTGGGCCTGCCGCTCTGCAGTGGGCGCCGGCTCCCTGCGTTGGGAGGGGGCTCACGGGGCGGGTGGGAGGGTGGGGGGCCGGGGTGGGGTGGGGCAGGATGCTGGATGGCCCGTTATTCTCCGAGGGGCCCGACAGCCCCCGGGAGCTCCAGGATGAGGAGTCGGGCAGCTGCCTCTGGGTGCAGAAGTCCAAGCTGCTGGTGATTGAAGTGAAGACTATTTCCTGTCATTATAGTGGTCGCGCCCCTTCTCGACAGTCCATGGACATCCAGGCCAGCCACTGGGCCCGCGGGCCCCAGAGCCGCACGTGAGTGAAGGCGGGGTGAGGGGCAGCGAGCGGTGGGGAGGGGAGCAGGGTCCGCTGCCGACCCCTTGTCTTTCCCGCGCCTCCCTCCCTCCCCCACTCGTGGAGGACTGGGGCCTGACACCTTCGGCGCTCTTCAGGGGGGACAGGAGCCGGAGCGAGCGAGGGCAGGAGGTGAGATGGGGCAGTCGCTGTTGAAGTGTGCGTGGAGAGAGGGCGAGGAGCCTCGGTTCGACTTCAGCCCCAGCGTGTACGCACGTGCGCTGGCACACACGCTCACGCGCACCCTCCCACACGGCTGCCCCAAGTGGCCTCCGGGGCTCCCAGAGGCCCGGACCTCGGCTCTCCTTCCCCACAAACTGCTCACCTGGGTTCCTGCTCATTGTCCCAGGTGTAGGCTGCGCCCGGGATCCCCTGAGCCGCCGCCCCGCCGACCCTGGGCCTCCAGGGTGCTGCAGGAGGCGACCAACTGGCGGGCGGGGCCCCTCGCCGAGGTCCGAACCCGGGAACAGGAGAAAAGGAAGGCGGCGTCGCAGGAGCGGGAGGCCAAGGAGACCGAGAGAAAGAGGCGCAAGGCTGGCGGGGCCCGACGGAGTCCCCTAGGGCAGCCCCTTCGGGCGGCCCAGCCCCCGGGGCTCCCGCCTCCCTCCAGACCCGAGCGCTTCGGGCCGGTGGGGCGAGCGCCACGCCCGTCCGCCTTCCCGCAGGGTGAGCCGAGGGTGGCGTGGGCGGGGCCGTGGGGAGGCCGGAGGCCGGGGCCCCCCAGCTACGAAGCTCACCTGCTGCTGAGAGGCGCCGCTGGCTCGGCCCCGAGGCGCCGCTGGGACCGGCCTCCGCCCTACGTGGCTCCGCCCTCGTACGAAGGCCCCCACAGGACCCTGGGGGCGAAGCGAGGCCCCGAGCTCTCCCGGGCGCCCGCCTCGGCAGCCCCGGCTCCGGTGGCTGCCAGGACAGAGGGAGGGCGCGCCAAGAAGAGGCTGGACCCTCGAATCTACCGGGACGTTCTGGGGGCCTGGGGTCTCAGGCAGGGCCGGGGACTCTTGGGAGGAGCTCCCGGCTGTGCTGCGGCCAGAGCCAGGCCGGAGGCTTGCAGAGGGGCCGCGGAGAGAGGCTCGGGCCTAGCTGTTGCTGGCCTGATCGGTGGTGGCCACGGCCAGCCCCAAGCCGAAGCTACGGGCAGTCCAGACGCGGAGGCCGCTCCCTCTGGGTCCCCGGCCAGCAGCTCCCCACGTCCGGCTCCCAGGTCCAGGCAGCAGCGCAGGGGCTCAAGGCCAGAAAAGGAAGGAGGTGAACCGATCTGGCTCCCCAAGTCTTGGCTTTCCTCTCCTAAAAAGCCTCCAGTTAGGCATAGCCAGACTCTCCCCAGGCCGTGGGCTCCTGGGGGCACTGGGTGGAGAGAGGCCCTTGGTCCAAGAGAGGGGGCAGAACACGAGGGCCCGGAAGCCTGGAAGGCCACCCGCCGTGCCCACACCCTGCCCCGCAGCTCCCGGGGCCTCGCTCGCAGGGAAGGCATCTTCGTCATTGACGCCACGTGCGTGGTGATAAAGTCCCAGTACGTCCCGACCCCTCGGCCCCAGCAGGTGCATGCGTTGGCCTCCGGGGAGCCGTGCGCTGCGAGCGACAGCCCCAGGCTACCCAAGCCCAGCCGCGGGGAGGAGGGGGCCGCCGCCGGCCCTTCCGCTTGCCCGAAGCGCCTGTTGAGCAGCCGTGTCTCAAACCAGCCAGGCGGGGGTGCCGAGGGCGAGGCTGGGGGCGGGGAGCGGGGGCCTTCTTCGCCGGAGGACCGCGCCCCGCGCCTCCCGGGGCTCCCTGCGGCCAAGGAGAAGCCGCCGGACGCCCCCACGCAGCCAGGCAGCCCCGAGCGCCCGACCTTAGGCCCGGCGGCTCCGGGCTGCGCGGGCGGCGCGAAGGGCTCAGACGCGGCCGGGGTCCCGCGGCGCGCGGCCGGGGGCTGGGCGCGGACTCCGGGGCCCTACGCCGGGGCGCTGCGGGAGGCCGTGTCCCGCATCCGCCGCCACACCGCCCCGGATTCGGACTCAGACGAGGCTGAGGAGCTCAGCGCCCACAGCGGCTCCTCCGATGGAAGCGACACAGACGCCCCAGGCGCCTCCTGGCGGAGCGAGAGGACCCTGCCTGCGGAGGGGAACACCCGGCCCGGGGAAGGCGCGAAGACGGCTGAGCCGAGTAACAGCATCCGGGAGATCCTAGATGTGTCAGCCAAACCGAAGAAGGCCTCTTAGGAGAGAAGCACACCAGGAGAACTCCCGGGGAAATAGAGGGACAGTGAGCGGTGCCCCTTTTCCAGGGTGGCTCAGCCAGCCTCGGGCCCGCCGCTCGCCTTCACTCTCCGCAGGCCTCGCTTGCTTCCCCTTTCTTCTCTCCCCACCTACACCTGCTCCCACGCTTGAGACAGAGGAAAGGAAAGAAAGGGAGGAGAGGGAAGGCAGCACTCGCCACTCAAAGGGTTAGTGTCAGGGAGATTGGGGGCGGGATTCAACTCCTGCTGCATTCCACGCAGAGCTGAGCAGAGAGACAGGCCGAAGGTCAAGGATGGTGGCAGAAAGCGACCGTCAGGGCAGGGTCCCTTGACAGGAGAGACAACGTACACACACACACACACACACACACACACACACACGCCACCAGCAGACTGGGAAGAGGCCTCTCCTTGAGGTTACAACTCAAGTTTCCATTCCAGCGCTGCCACCGACTTGCTGGCGGACCTGAAGAGTAACTGTTTTTACGTGCGGGCATCCCGGACTTCCTGTAAATGTAAAACCAGCGGTTCCTGCCGCCCATCCTTCCGCCCCTAAGATTTTGTGAATCAGTGGATAGAACTTGAGGGTTCTTATCAGCTTCACTCTTCCTCAGTTCAGACGGCCGTCAAAGCGTTCCGATTTAAATGGGCAAAGGGCTTCTATCCCAACCTCCCAAGTGTAGGAGGGTGCTCCCAAGGCAGAGCCCCTCACCGTCCAAGCTGGAGGGGGAAGACAGCCAATGAATCCGCTTGGGACGTTTTTAAGCCTTCCCCCCTTCCTCCATCTCCGTGCCCTTGTGATGCTCTGAAGTGTTGCCCGGATTTCCCACGCAGACGGTATCGCCCACCGGATAGGACCTCGACACAACCTGCATCTCTCCTAGGAAACAGCCGGGCGAGCAGCAAGGCTGAGCTTCAGCAGACCGTGTGGGGTGTGATACTCGCTGTGGCCACTACGGGGCGCGCGCAGGCCGCGGATTCCCCGGTTGCTGGTGCTCGAGTGCCCCTACACCAGCACTGCCCGTTATCTGGATCCCTAGTTACCGGGCGCCGGTTTCCTGCCTTGACACCTCCAAACCGCGCGCGGGGCCGGGAGCAGGCCTCCGGTCTCCCAGACCTCCGGGGCGCGCCGAGCCCTTCTTTGTATTGACCCACGCCAACCGGTTTGAGACTGACATTTAAGTCTTTTTCTTCTTCTCTTTCCAACCCTGGGCACTTCCTCTGTGTCTGCCATTTACTAGCCATGTGACCTTGGCCGAATCACTTCACCTCCCTGAGCCTCAGTTTCCTCATCTGTCAAATGGGGGTTTATAAACACCTACCTCGCAGGGTTGTTGTGAGGATTTAATGAGATAATGTATATAAGGCGCCTTGCACAGTGCCTGGCACATAGTAGGCGCCCAATAAATCTCCCTCCCTTTATGCAGTTCTGGAGTCTCTCTTTTTATGACCCAGACCCACCGTGCCCCTCCCTGGGGACTTGACTTCTTCCCGCTCCTCGTTTGAGGGGGAGGAGGATCCTCTCTGGTGGAAACTTCTGGCCCCTCCCGTCTCCCTGGCTGGGACTCTCCCTTCCTTGCCCCCCCGCCCCACCCCTGCCGGCTCTTCCCTCTGCCCTAGCGCACTCCCCCCGCCCCCTATTCCGGGCAAAGGCTGAGTCAGCCTAGGTAAATTTAGCCACCGGCTGGGCAGGAGCGGGGGCTTCGCCCAGACTCAGTCGCCAGGTCGAACCAGTCTCCCGGGCCCCTCTGTCCCTACTCCCACCGACCGCTCCCCCCCCCACACACACACACCGTAACTGCCTCCCGCAACTCTTCAGACCGTTCTCCAAGCACTTGGGCTTTTAGTCAACAGAAAAGGCAGAAGGCAGAGGGGGCAGGGCTCCCAGAGCACAGCCGAGCCCTGGGCTCAGTGGGGGAGGGGCTCCTAGGGTTTCCCAGCTCTAGGGGCGTTCACTGGTCGGGGCTCCCCAGGAATACTCACCTGCGATCTTGTCTGTGACCTACACATTTCCTGTTGCTCTTGGTGGAGGAGGCCAAGGAAGTCAGGTCATCCTGGGCAAAGATCAAAGGTACCAAAGGTCTTACCACCGTCCACGCTCTGCTGCCAAGTGAAACCTAGCATTTACCGAGCGCTTCCTAGGAACGAGACTCTAGGCTGGGCTCAGGGGAGAAATGCAAGGCCTGCAAGACAGTGCGATGAAGAGGAAAATGCAAAGCACTGGCCACTGTCCTAAGTTCTGGAAAGAACTAGTTAAGGGAGATCCTAATTTTAGGAGATCCAGGGAGAGTCCATGGAGGAGGTGACATTCAGATAAGAATTAGTGAAAGGTGCTGGGCCGGTCAACTCGCCTTCCATCCCAGCAGTGGCGTGTGGATCGCCGGATGCTCAAGGCCAGCCTGCGGTAGACAGTGAGTTCCGGGCTGTCCAGGCAAAAGTGAACAGATTTAAATAGAGAAAGAAAAGAAGCCAGGCATGGTGGCTCTTTCCTGTAAACTGGAGGCAGAGGCAGGAGGATGGTTACAAGTTTGAGCCCAGCCTGGTTTACTAGCAAATTCCAGTCCAGCCCAGTCCAGCCCAGCAAGATTCTGTCCCCAAAAGAGAAGGGGTGCCAGCACACTCTCTTGGGGACTGGGCTGGAGGACGGCCCGTGGTACTATGCTCAAACTAGAACCAGAAAGCTCCCAGCATTGAAAAAGGCAAACCCTAGGTTAGATAACAACCACCCATTTTGTGTAAGGGACACTTGGATATTTAGGGTGTCAGGGCCACACATGCCTTCTTCCAGAGCTTGCCAAGAACAAAGTCAGAAGCCGCTGCCAGAGTTCTGAGAGAGAAAGAGAGGGAGACACAGAGAGAGAGACACAGAGACAGAAGAGAAACAGAGACAGAGACAGAGAGAGAGAGAGAGAGAGAAGGGGTGGCTGCAGGCCTCAGGGCCAGGCCCTGGTGAGTAGTATCTTAGGCCCCATGGGGCCCTGTGGGTGGCAGGTTGGAGACTCCCTGCTGTGAAAATGACTTCTAATTCTAGCTGTGTCTGCCAGCCACCCACCCTCCCGAAGGAGGCCACAACTACCATCCCCCTGGAACCACCCCCTTGAGCAGGAGGAAAGCAGCAGGAAGGACTGCTCAGCTGGAGGTCTCAGGGGAGCCCATGGCTCTCCCAACAGTTCTTCCAAGTTCTTCCTGGAAGCATTTTCTGCCCCGCAGTTCTGTCATGCTCGATGAGGTATTAGGGGAGCCAGGAACCCTGTCCTACTCAGACTTGGGAGAGCTCTGACTTGTCCTGAGGCCAGCTACTAATGGGTGAGGAAACCGAGGCACAGGCTGTAAGTGCGACATCACAGAGAACAGTGGTGTGGTGTTTGCAAGAGAGGAGGGCAGAGGAAACCGCTGAACACAGGGACTTGGGACCCATATTAAAGAGAGAGAGAGAGAATGAGGAGGAGGACAGAACAGCACCACAGAGGATCGACTTCTTGGCTTGGACTTAGAGGATATGAAAATATATCTGTGAATGCCTCTGGGAGACAACTTTCCAAGGGTGCACATATTAGTAAGGGGATTTTAAGACAGGTGCTGTCCCTGCCTCTCCATGGCACGGCATGGGGCATGGGACAGGCTCCCTTCTTTGGATCTCCTGGTAGTAGCTAGGGTGTGTGAGTCATTTCGTGGACAGATGCTCTGTCCACCCATTTATCCCTGTATTCCGTCTATCCGCTTGCCGACCTGTCCATGAATCTGAGTGCCCTCTGTATCTACCCATGCATCTATGTCTTCATCCGTGAATGCACCTGTTCATCATTTAACGAGGGTATATGATGTCCCCATCTCCGTGTTGGGAAGGGTGGCAAGATGGAAGGGACACTTAGCATGTGTCCTCAGGCCTGTGGACGCCTAGCCTAGCGAGTACACAAATGGCCACTGGGTGTCGTGAAGGAAAGCCCCGCCAGGCCAGCAAAGCATTTCAAGAACCCAAACAGGCAAGGTCAGTCTGCCAAGGGAAAGCTGAAGAGCCTCTGGGGGGCTTCACAGGGGTGTTTGAGGCAGTTCTTACCAAGAAGATGAGGGGAGAGATGCGCCAACAATGCGGGGAGACACGTGGTTTCCAGGGGACAAGGCCCTGGGGAAGAAAGGAGTAGATGGTGAAGAGGGTATTGAAGGCAAGAATAAGGCACTTGACTTCCATTAGGCAGTGACGTGTGCCCGTGGGCCAGTTACTTGGGAGGCTAAGGGTTGGGGATCCCTTGAGGCCAGGAATTCAAGGCCAATATGGGAAAAGCAGTGAGGCTTTGCCTCTGACTAAAGAAATGCAGGAGCTTTTGTGAGAGGAACTGAAAGAGAGATGACAGATAGTTTTGAGCTGGGAACCTCTTACTATATTTCAATGTCAAACATTTTCCTCCAAAAAGGCTAGTGTAGGAAAGAGGAGAATGGGGCCTGGGGCCTGGGCCCTGAGGATGTGCTTCGGTTGGTAGAGTTCCGGAACTTCACTATCTGGATGTGGTAGCCTCACAAATCCTAGCACTCGGGAGGCAAACGGATCAGGTTTTCACCGTTATCCTCGGCCCGTGGAGAACTTGAGGCCAGCCTGGGACGCATGAGACGTTACTTCAAAACCTGGAAGGGTGGTTTAAAGTTAAAAAGCGGTAAAGAGCTTTTAACCCTGCTGGAATAATGTAGCAGAGAGAGCTTGGCTGCTGCCCAGCCAGGCCCGCCTGCAGCCGCTGGCTTCACTTTCCTAGCTGGTGTCTCCCGGAGCAATCCCGACACCGACCACGAGGGGGCGCTGTTCGAACTTTAGCGCCGAGAGGGGCCCATGCAGGACTGTCCAGGAATGGTCTAGACAACTCTTTCTATGAAGAGCCTGAGGACAGGTGTGCAAGAGAAGATCCGACGGACCCCAACTTCTATTCCAGTACAAGCCTATGCATCCTGTCACTCTGGGTACAAAAGCAGGATCTTGTGAAAATAACAGGGACCAAGACATAGTTTTTGCCCTCAAGGATTTCACAATCTAGTTTCATTTAAATCTACCCTTCATCATCTCTTAAACACACACACACACACACACACACACCTGCTTCCCCGGGAACAACCCTCTTGACCCAGAAAGCCACACTCTTTGGGACTACTCACAGACCTAAAGGAGGCTTTTCTCACAGTCGTTGCATGACACTAATGAAGGGTCCTGCTGGCGGCCCCGGGGGAAATGCCTGACTCTGGATGGCTTCTTCTCCAGTTGGCTTTTTACCCTGCCCTTCTGCGCCCTTTCCTGGGCTTTCTGACCTTCTCCAACACAGCGCAGCCACTCTGGCCGCTTCCTCTTTTAGGTGGGGAATGCTCGCTCCCTAACACTGCAGAGCGCAGGC